TTTTATATACTATTATATATGTTATTTAAATAGAGCCGTTACAACTTTTTTTGTCACCTATTGTTTAAGTTCTGACTTACCCTTGACGAACTGGTTAACCTTTATCTTGCCATATACTGAAAATGACTATTCATGTTCCAATGTCAATGTTAATACGATTCACTTTATATCATCATTAAGGTTATTTTTCAATTATCACCGATCTATTATCATCAATTTTACTTAACGAATGTGTATTCGATTTTTGAGTTAAACTTTAACTTTATTAAACATAATTTCCTTTTTGCAACGTTTTTGATAAATTTTTATAAGAAATGATGACATAATAAGTAGCTATAAGAATATAGTTTTACTGAGCATTAGGGTAGGTTGTAAGGTTAGATGAAAAAAGATTGCCTATTGAATTGAATAATTATTTGGTTGGTTTTAAAGCCAATATAAAAAGTGGGCCAATTAAATAATAGCTTGGATCCGTTTTTAATTACAGACGACCCTTATTAATTATATATTTACTGTACATACTTTAGTATAGCTATTACCATGATTTATTAAACAAGTATTGTTTTATTTGTTCATGCTGGGCAAACATCCCAATGTTAACCATGTACTGAATTTTGATCAAATGAAAAATGTGAATACAGATATTTTTTTGTGACGTAAACTACATAATGCAATAAAATGTGTGAATACATTGTATTCTAACGAAGGCACGTGGAGTACAACAGTGTTGATGGCAATTTTATTCTGTCAATTTAGTTGAATTGCATTCATTAATAACAAAAGATGATGTTTGATGTGTGTGCATTATGTTATATCCTTATACAATTCTCATAATCTTTATATAATGTCTTTAATGAATAATATCAAAGAGTTTCACACTAGTTTTTCGGTTAGTAATTTGCTTAATGTTAGTGCTGATTTCTATTTTATACGGACATTGTTTATTAGAATTTTTATTTTAGATCAATAACATTGTTCATGAAGAATGTTGTCGTCGTCCATTTAATGTTCCGTCATTATTGTTTTATTCAATGTGAATGTCTTCTCGGCAGATTATACTAATTGATCGTAATAATTTCTATCAATAGTAAACATCCTGATTTCACAAACATTAGTAACATGAAATTTTAATAATAAGTGTTCACATGAATTTTCTATAGTTTGGTTGCGCATGAAGTGTCAATTTTTTCTAACAATAACAATATAATGAGGTGTTAATTGAAATTTCATACTCGCATGTTTGTATCAAGGAAGGATACATTAGTGCTATAAGGAAATTGTCTTGGTTTAGGAAATAATATTAGTTTTATCTATTGAACGTCCGGATTCCAGCCTTAGATTCAGTCAAGTTCAAACGTCGTCGTTACCAATATGATTAACAAACACATCTCGCGGACGTGCTTGAAATTTGTTTTTGGCAACAAACGTCGAACAACAATAATTAATGTAATACCTTTTGTCACATCTCCTCGATAATATTTTTGTTGTCGTCATACGCATAATTTTTTGCAGACGTGTCAAATGTCTAATGAAAAATAAACAAATTTGAATCGGTTGGACTACAAGTATACAATGAATGTATGATCGCGCGATGACTTACTAATTTAAAATTATAAACAATTAATTTATGATGAATAACCATAGTGACGCCTACTTTACGAGTTTAAAAATATTCCATTTTTCTTGTATCATAGAAATAATAAAATATTTTGCACGTTTATAAAAAATGTAAACACGAACGATGGACGTTCCTTGATAAGTTTTATTTGGTTTAAAATAATAGCTTTTTCATCGAAATTGTATACGGTTAAAATTATTTTAGTACTGGTAAGGTTGGTTAACTATATAAAAAAACAAAAAATTAAATATTCATAATCCAAAAGATAAGTAAAATTTATAATTATGATACTATTCCAATGGTTTTGAATCATTTTATTTTCATTTAAATGTAAATTGTGTATTTTTAAAGCATTTAAATTGGAGTGTGATGAGTTGTTCAAAAATCAAACTTANTGTGTATTTTTCAAGCATTGAAATTGGAGTGTGATGAGTTGTTCAAAAATCAAACTAACAAAAGTAGAGACACCGATATGTTGTGAATACATTGTTTATTATATTTATGGATGTAGTTTGAAAGAAAAAGAAGTTTCTTTAATATAATTTATTATGGATATATGAATAATTATACATTTATATTATTTATTATAGTATAAAAACATAATTATTTAATTAATATATTAATTAAATAATTTGAATAATTTTTAATAATATGATGGATTTTAATAAAAAGAATTTTAATTGTCGTTGTAATTAGAAATTTGATACATAATTTTATTATGTATTATATTTTATAGACTTAATGAATAATCATATTGAACATGCGGAATTTCCGGATTATTGATAATTCTAACTTTAAATTAAGAAAAATAATTTTATGTTAATAAGTAAAATAATAAAATTATTCAGTTGTTTAAAAAGAATTAAAGCCTTAAAAATTAATACCTTGAGCGAACTAATATGCAGTTAAAATAAATTGAGTGAAGAACAAGTTTAGTAGTAAACAGGGCTAATTAAACGTTAATTTTTTTTGCGTTTAATGATTAAATTATAGAGTTATCCTACAATTAAATTTTATGTTATTCAAAATTTAAATGTTAAATAATTTTTATGTTTAACTTGTTTAATATAAATACGTTGTTCAATTATTTTGTTTAATGTTAAAAAGGTCGAAACATAAGAAATTTTTTATATGGGCAAATGATTACTTTTTCTTTACATAAAATTATTTAAATAAAACAATTGAAAAGAATTAATTTTTTTACATTATAAGTTGTATTATATATAAAAATATTTTTCGCTTATTGAAGTCACATATTTTCTATTTTTCGTTTTAAACACAACGTTTAAAACGTTATAATTACAACAATTATAACGTTTTCTTACCCTAATAATTTTTAATATCATGCACAATGTTTTGAGGTGTTATGAAATAAATTGTTGCATGTACATCAGATTGAATGTAAGATAAAATATATGTAGTTATTTGCAGCATCCAATCAACATTTAAGCTTAAAAAAATCAGAAAGTTATAAGAGTAGGTGAAGATTGAAAATCAATTTTGGAGAGCTAAAAAAATTTAGCTTCTTCCTAAGAAATGTTTTTAAATATATTAAAAATATTTTTNGAAATGTTTTTAAGTATATTAAAAATATTTCTCCTGATACTCTTTTGAGATAATACTCTTTTTATGGAGGTTGGCTAATTTTATTTTTCATTAAGTTGACTATCCAAACCTCCATTCAAATGTCGAACATAGTTTAAGGCTCCTATAAGTTTATATAAACAAATTATTCATTAATAACAATATTTTTCAACAGACCATTGAAAAATTATCAGATTAATAATTCGTTAAATAATAAAGTATTTCAGTAATAACTTAAATAATTTCAAATACGTATTTTAATACCTCTAACTTCTTCAGAATAATGATTCCCAATATAATGAACAATAAAAATTAAAATATATGGTTTAAAATATAATCATGTATTTTTATTTTTATGGTTTAAATATTTTTGTGTTGATTTTTTTTAAAATTATTTTTACTAAATGATAAGCCAAAATAAAATGTATTATTATTAAAGATTTTATAGAGTTGAAAAACAATTTTTTGAGGTTAAAATAACATAAAATTCTTTAATTGTAATTGTGATAATCAGTAACAGGTATGTGATAATGGAATTTATCTCGTTATTGTTATTATAATTCAGTAGTCATTAACATTAATAAATATTACCATTAAGTAAATATCGAGAATATATTGAATATTTATTAACCCATGATGCGTTCTTAACAAAAATATATACATTTTATTTAGAATAATTAATGATTGTTATTGAAATGATAAACATTTATACACAGCATTTAAATAACTAATAATAAGTTTTATATAATATAATACTTATTTGTCATAAATACCAAGTATTGAATTACTAATGATTAGTTTTGGGTTTTTAGGAACGAGAACTGTCAAAGAAAACTCAAGACTCCCAATCGAACTGTATTAAAACGTATTCACTATTAGAATACCATGAAGTGGAACCATACTTACAATCAAATCCGTATATTACCTCAGGTTACAGAAATAAATTATCAACTAAAAAGTGTATAGAAAGGTGAGAATAGCATATATTATAATAAGTGACTACTAATTATTCAATTTTTAAACATGATAAATTTATTGTGATAGTCCAATTAAAAAAACGGTAGCACAGTGGGATCGCAGAACTGTGTAAACGTGGCATATTTGGGACAAGTATAGATGATATCTGACAGTGTTTAAAATCAATATCATAAGAAAAGCTTCGATGCAAATCTGTAGATTTGTTTGATTGTAAAAATTTGGTGAATTATTCCAAAAGCAACATCAAATACTATTTCTTCAATTATATACTGATTAGTAGTTGAAATTAGTAGTCTTGAATTTATAAGTATAATATTAAATAAGGAATTTTCATTGGATACCAGAATATATTTTTCTAAACCCATTTTTAAGCCGATTTCAAATGTGCAATTAGATTTTTTCTAACACCTCTTTTATTTGATAAGGTTAACAAGTCGTGGGGAATAATATTTTTTTTTCATATTAAAATTACATATTAAATTTTAATATAAGATATAGAAGTGTCTATATTTCCGAAACATATTCAAAAGTTAAGTTGAAAAGTTCTACTTTCTATATGTCTGCCGTGCTAAGCAAAAACAGGATAACTCCAAAATTAAAAAAAATTTTTTTTTTGTTTGTATAGGTAAATTTAGTGGTTTTACACCGATTTTTGATGTAAAAGTAGCATATTTCCTATTAAAACCTATCTAAAATTGAAATATAAAATAAGAAAATATTCGGTAAGTTCAATATATTTGATGTTTTATAAGCGAAAACACGGTAAATCCAAATACTAAGCAAAAACTTGGTATATCACATAAAAAATAATGGAGTTACCATCTTTTGACTTATGTTCATACATTGGGAAAAAAGGGTATCTTGATTTACTGTTAAAAATGTTTTTTTGTGTTCCTGAAAAATCATGTTGACTGGAGTTATCCTGTTTTCGCTTAGCCCGGCATATGTGTGCTTTAAGTTTTGACTACCTTATATAAAGGGAAATTGTCTAATTAAAAAAATGGATGTTGGCTGAAAAAAATATATATAATGTATGTATAATAAAAAATTCTATTGATCCATATACTTTTCAAAAAGTTACAGCAATAACAATTTTAAGTAAAGAAAGTTCAAAAAAATTACAATTACAATTACAATTTTAACTAGAGGTCGCGATTACACGTATAATGAACTTCACGGGTACCCGTGTTTTTACCTATGACGGGGTTAAAGCCAGTGTAGTAAAAATATCCGTGTATACCCGGGCTTTAAATACCCGTGACCTTAAATACTCATATATTTAATATAATATGTATATAAATATACAATGTATGCATGGGTATTAAATACACGGGCTTTAATATATGTTTTGCCCGTGTACCTGGGCTCCCTGTATTCTAATACCCGTTCACAATCGCGACCTCTAATTTTAACCCAACCCTCAAAAATTGAGGATAATATCTTTGACTAGATACGATTTGTGATCTTTTGACGTATCGTTTAAATAAATCGGTTCTATGAAAGCTGAGAAAAAGTGGTAACAGAAACACACACAAAAATAAAAGAATAATTTAAAAAAGACATATCATAATAAAATTAATACATTCTCAAATGCGATAACTGAAACTGAAATATTTTGCGGATGATTAATGTTAAATTAAGAATTTTAGTATTTATTATTTAACGAGAATCAATTGAATTTATTGTTTATGGTCCTCTAATTTAAAATCTCTCAATTGAAAAATAATCCTTTTGTGTTTTTATCCTTGTAGTTTTGTGTTATAACAGAAGAAACTATTACTCGTTGAATTCAGCAATTAAAAATGACTATTTTATTGAATTTCAGCATCATAGAGCACGGGTTAATTTCATCATACTGATCTTAAATTTTGCTTAGCACATTCCTTTAGTAATTGAGAAAATTTAGAAGTAGCGTAATCAAAAAACCGTGTTGATTTTTGAAGGATAATCTAGTCAGTATCCACCCGCGCAACATACTATGCATTAAAATACTTGTAACTGATAAGGACTTATTAAAGGCTATTTTAAAGTTATAAAATTTAATTTTTTTAAATAGAGATAAATAATAAGAAATATATTTTTTACGTTGTCTAAGACAAAAATAAATATTGCCTTTGTTTAAATAATTATTGTTTAAAAAAATGATTAATGAAATAATAATTTGATTAAAAATTATGACTCCTTCTGAGTTAGATCTGAGATACCCTATTTGTAAAATTTTTCCAATTAATTAAATAAAAAAATTAAATTCCAAAAAATTAAAATTTTTTTTTTCTTTAAGAAAAATTTAATTTAGTTATTTGAGAGAATTTATTGGGTTTATGGTTTATTAACTTATCCAACTTTCTCTTAATAGTATGAAGAACTTTTAATTTCTGTATGTTGATTATTGTAATATAATAATCAATAAAGAAATAAAAAGTAAAGGTATAATATTATTTCAATAAAAAATTACCATCAAAAACATTGTAATCATTGTAACAATAATTTATACAAAGTAAATTTACTTTAGTTGCAAGGTTAATTATTAGAATAGAATTAAAATATGAGTAAAAGCTTATTAATTGTTTAATAGAAATCTAGACAGCTAAATTATTCGAAATAATTTCAGGAAGTATATATAGACGTAGGTGCTGAAAATACCTAAGAGTTAACCTTATAATTTTCACATAAATGTTTTACGAGTACCTTCACCTTCAAAATATTGTGATTAAGTAACATTGTATGTTTTATACATTATTTTACGAAAATATTAAATATAAAATTTTTTTAGTAAACCTGTTATTAAGGTGTTATTTATATTGTAGAATTTATAGTAGGGTTATTAAACTTAAATATTAACACAGAATCCAAAATCTTTTAACCTGTAAATCTTTCAGATAGCAGAAAATATTTTTGGGGTCCTTTGTTTATTTGGTAATTGATTTTTATTTAAAATTTTATATTGGTATGAGTAATATTTATGATATTAGCTTCGACATGTAGCTGACAAGGTATTAATTTTACCATTATTGTTTTATTTCTCTGTTTGTCACTATTTTTTCTCAGCTCTCACTGGAACGATTTTTCTCAACGACAAGTTAAAAGATCACAAATCGTATCTAGATGGAGACATTACTCTCAAAAATTGAAAATTTTGCCCTCGTTCCACGTAAATGGTGAAAATAATAACTTTGAAATTTGAACTAACTTAAATTGACATTTTTATTATCCGACTAATGTGACTAACAGTTGCCAAATCGGTAACATTTGTGTCTTTCACGATTGTGGTACAAACCCGCTCGTGACAAAAGAATTTCCCATTTTTTCCTTTATTATTTTTGAGTTAGAAAAAAATATTCAACTCATTTAAATTCAATAACTTCAATAATTATTAAGGCCCTATCACTGTATTCTCCCCCAGTTAAAAGAAATTTCTTATTTATATTAAAATTATTTTATTAAGGAATTTTTTTTTTGAGGCTATTATTTATTTTCTCAGCTCTCATTTGATCTTCTTTTTCAACGATATGTCTAATTGTTACAATTCGTATCTATTTGGAGATATTGTCCTCAAAAATTTAGTTTCATCTGAATTTAACTATGGATTTTGCAATTATAATCAAATTTTATAAAACATTCAATTGTGTAGATTTTTTAAACAACATTTTGATTGGTTTTTTTGGTTAAAGTAAATTATTAAAATTAATTCAGTTCTGCATATTTCAATTGTAGAATCTTTTCAAAAACTAAAAGTTACTTCAAAATGATTACTATGATTTCTATTTAAGTGATCTATTACTTACATGATGTCAATTTCAAACTTGCAAGTTGAGCTAAAAGTTATGGTAACAAATTTAATTTTTTTTATAAACTTTCACAAAAATAAACTTTAAAAGACCGAAAAATAGTTTAAAAATATCATTTTGCACTGATTGTGATTTTTAACATATTAAAAATCACAATAAGTAATAATTTGAAAAAAAAATTTTTTTTTGTTTTAACTATTTTTTACTAAATAGTATTAATATCAAAAATTAGAAGTGATAGGAAAAGTCTAATTGAAGATTTGAAAACAGTACGAAAAGTTGATTTAGAAAAGTATATTTTTGATTCTGATGAAAGTTCCTTGTAATTTAGTGTATTTATTCATAAGTAAAAATAAATTTTTTTTTTTTAAGTATTGCATCAAGCTCTTTAATTTTTATACATGTTTGTCATAGAAGTAACAAAATATACTACTTTATAATTGTTTACAATTTATCCGTAAAAATTACAATACAAAATTATTAAATATCAATTTTACACTATTTTTAATTGATATAATGTTCATATATTATACTTTTGAATCTAAGGACTACTTATAAGGATATAATTAAGGAAATATGAGTTGATATTGATTTTATAATTATGCACCAATTTCTTAAAATTAAATAAAATCTACAGATTTGCATCGAAGCGTTTCATATGATAGTGATTTTAATCACTGTCAGATATCATCTATACTTGTCCCAACTATCTCACATCAATATTGTGTCGCGACCCCACTGTGCTATCGTTTTTTTCTGTATTTCAATAACACTTTAATTTGACCGCATTGAATTAGGTAATTAAATTAGTTTTTATATTTGAACATTTAAATAACTAAATATTTCATTTATTTTATTTTGATGAGAGTTTAAGAGGTATTTATCTTAGAAAATATATACAATTTATACTTAATGTCAATTGTGTCATATGAGTGTATTTATATAATCTATATAGGTAGGAAGTTCGAGGGGCACAATTTCCTATAAAGTTTTTAGTCTACCTATTTTTTGAAATTTTAAATATTATTCTTAGAGAGATTTTAAGCAAAATATAGTATTTAATATAAAAATTTGAAAGAATTCTTCAGCCTTCCAGGATGTCTAACTAGAAAAGGTTAAAAAGATGAAGTACTCTTTATTTCATGAGTTTAACCAACATTTTATTTATAAAATGTTATAATCACTTTAAAAACTACTATTGAAAAATATTTGGAATATCAATGTTTAATTGAGTTAAAAAAAGCAATATAATATTTTTATTTCAGTATATTTTGGCTAACGAATGAAACTATCAATATATGGTCTCATTTGTTTGGCTGGATGTTGTTTTTTGGCTTAACTATTTATGATCTTATGATAGTGGATATTCGAGCTTCTCAATTTGACAGACTCGTTGTGGTACTTCTTCTAGGATGTTTTCAGGTAAAAATAATAATATAAATGTTTGAATATAGTTAAATGTATAAAATATAAATAAGTCCCTCAGAAAAAAATGATGTGCCCTATCCAATTTTAATCAATGAAAGTTTTTAATTATTAATACTTTTTTTATATAAGTACAATTTTAAAGTCATTATCTACTTCATTTAAAATAAAAAATAAAAAAATTTTAGTAAAAAGGCCACAAAAAATATTAAAAAACAGCATGGACGTATTTCGGGATAATGTAACTATCAGCGTTAAACACATATTGATACCCCGATTAAAAAATACTGCCTTATATAGCCTAGTGTTTGAAAAATTATTTTTAACAAATTAACTCAATATACTAGTCATAAAACGATAATATATTGAAATTCCTTTTTCGTTAATTACTCAGATAAGTAATAAGTTACGTTAATTTTAAATATAAAAAAGAATACATTACAAAATAGTTATTTAAATAATTTTGGAGATTGATTACTATTCAAAACATTTTTTAATGACCTTTTTTTTTCTTAATAAAAATGTTTCGTATCCATTGCTAAACATTAAAATATTAAAGAATAAAAGAAAAAACCATCAATAATTTTTTACTGTTCATCGCTAAAAAGTGTAAACATTGCTAATCGTTTCCAGGGAAGGAAGGATGAGTTTATAACCCCAACCACCATTTATCTTTTCAAGACGATGCTAGAATGCCTACACGTTCAAATTCGAAACACATTTTTTTATAATAATACACGAAATCTAATTAAACCATTTTTTTAGGGCCAACAATTATTTAGGATAGGTCACATCATTTATTTTTAGAATTTAAGAGAATTTTTTACAAGAGTATTGTAATTATAGCGGAATTTTAAACTTTTCGCATTTTATTACTATTAACCACAATTATATTAGTTATGCTAAAAACATAAAATTTACAATTTTTTAAATTCTTATAAAATTCCTATCAGCCTTAAAAAATTAAAATTATAAGTTAAAGTTATAGGAAAAAGTTCAATTTTAATATTTGTAAAATGTTGTTTAAATCAAAATCGAAAGCCAAGTTTAGTAGGTTAAACGTGAGATCTCAAATTAGTGTATTTGTTAAATGTATCCTATTTGGGTTCTAAATTAAATTTTTCGGTAAAAAAATTGTTTGAGTAATTCGTTAAATGACTAATTAGCGCCTATCTCGAAAACTAAAATCAATCTTGAAATTTAAAATTCGGATTCAGCAACAAAATTATTTTCTGATATTACTATAATATTGTTTTTAGCACAAAAAAGTGTCGTCAGTGTAAACAGGGGCGTCAGTTCAGATTATACTAGACGGGGCAAACTTAAATCGGTCTATTGTTTCACAAAGCTACGCTTACGATGTATTCCTCATAAAATTTAGACTGAGACAAACGCTCAAGTTATTCCCTTAAATGAAATTCGTTAGTATAATCCTACAGATTTAAATAAGCGTTTTAATAGATAACGAATTACTCAATCCCTTACTCTGATAATTGTGACTTCTTTAAAAATATGTTATTGTATATAAAAAAAATAATTAAACTACTAAGACATTTCTTAAAAAGTAACTTCGCTAGAATAACGAGTGACGTTCGTTAACCCAACACTGATATAACCCTAGTGACCTAATCACCTAATGTCGTTTTAACCTAGTGAGGTTCGTAATTGTTTGTGACATTCTGATTTATTACAGAAGTTTTTATGATAAATTTTGCACTGGGCTTTGAACCCAATCAATTAAATTATTCTTATTTTTAAACATTCCCAACACTTCCTTTATATTAAGTTCTTTGTAATTATTTACGTTTTTAATTAGTTTTATAGTACTAATTTAGTTACTGCAAAATTCATTATTATTCTTGTGTTAACTGTTGAAATGTGAAAAATTCACTTGGTGATAACATCACTAAGTCATAACGT